TTAACGGTGTTGTAACTCACTTGCAAGCTGTAATTTGTAGTGATGGCGGACACATAGAATAAGATATGTTTTGCTTGTAAACATTTGCCTATTTGCAAATAAACATAGTTTTTTCTTGAAATATGTGATATGCTCTCGTACAGTGCCGTCTGTCAACAGAAATTCTAACTATTTTTTTTTTTCTTACCAAAAAAATCCTCCTCCACGAGAATAACTTTCAAGCAAAGCGGGCTCAAGTCCACCAATTTCTTCAACGTTTAATGAATTTTTTAATATTTACAGACTTATGAGACATCCTGTACAAACCACACAAGCAAATATATGTGTGGGAAGTATACTCATTGTCGACCGACGCTGAGTCATCCAACACATGATCTAGCTCCAGCACAGCAGGTGTGGAGACAACACCCAGACTCAGATGAGGACCAGGCCTGCTCGGGAACAGATGGGTTTTTTAGAAGCTTTGGTTTCGTGTCCAAGCGGACGATGCTTGTCTATGGCTAGCCATGGAGAACAGACGGACTTTCTCGAGGCATGAGCGTATGTGCCTGTAGGATTGATAATGTGCGAGAATGGACTTCTAAATCCTTGTAGGGGAATCACCAGTTTTATGTCAATTTCATCTGTTACCAGCTATAATGTTCATTTCATCTTTTACCCTCTTTTCATTCCATCTTAGTAAAGTCATAAATAAAGTAGATTAGTTTATATTTATCTCGTGCTCCATGTGCGGATGTCCCTACACATATATATGTAAGAAAGATAAAGAATATGTAAAAGATTAAATTTGCAGTTTAATTTCGTTCTTTATTCTAAAAATAGTAATCCCTACACTGCGTGATTTCGAGACTAATCTATGTCATATGATTCCTACGTAATTCTGATGATGTAAATGAAACTAAAACTCAAAACAGCCAACAGTGATTTTAAAGCAGTATTAACTATCGAATCAAAGTGCATTAAGAACCAAAACTAACTCATTCTGAATTAAGATTTTGCCCTCAACATAATGCACTTGCTTTCTACGCTTTGGCCTAGCTGCTCTGAAGTCTGCCTGCTCCTCCTTTCTTACCGCAAATTTATCTAAAATGTAAATTTTTTCGAATAGGCACAATTAATGTGCCAACTTCATTGTGGCCGCAACATGTTTACTAAAATAAAAGTTGATTTAAATATACCTTGACTGAGAAATTTCTTATTCATAGTGGATAGGCATTTCAGCATTCTACGACATCAAAATTCTCGCTGTTCATTACGAATTCAACCGGCTGCGTTGTACTACAGAATCTATTATATATATATTTTCAAAATAATGTTTTGGGTATTTTATGAAATAAGGATCTTGCATACTTGGTGAAACAATTTAACCCCCCCCCGTTTTCTTGCTTTTGTTTTATATAGTATTAATATGTCTCGCTACAAACTCGAGATTTATTTAGGAAATTAATGAAATATAGCTTATTTAATCTAAACAGAATTAATAAATACACCATAAATTGTCTCTTCATACATAATTTACCTGCGTTTTGAATGGCAACCTAAACAACAGGAAGTGACAGAATCAGTAAGACATCTGTACACTGGTCACTGGATGGTTTAGAACAACGGCGAATGGGCTAATCATTTAGAATACCGTGTAGGTGCATGGATGTTTTCATGGTTTTTCTTACACTGTACACGCATTAAGCTTATTCTGGTGCAGGAAGTGAGAAGAAGCAGTTATGCCTTCATCGGAAATCGAACTCCGTGCTTGCCCAACGTGCCTTCCAATTATACCACGAATGAATGCGGAAACGAAAGGTATAATTACTTACATTTTCTCCCACATAACGCTTTGACTACTAATGGAACTTATATGTCCCACTAAAAGTTTAAAAGTTACTGCTGATTTACTTACTGCTGTTAATTAGAGTCTCTTGAATGTTGGGGATCATCTTCCAATAGTTGGGAAATCAAGATGCAGCTGTGCTCATTGTCGAGAAAAGAACAAATGAGTTGCCCAGTGAGTAATGTTTGGTTATGCAAAGCTTTACCCTATATCATACGAAGCAAAATCTGTTTCATATAATAAAGTTTGTGGGATAATAGGTGTGTTTATAGTAAGGCTATCGCTATACGTATCCCACTATTAACGGCGGCTGGAACATATGTGTCCTAACCTTTGGCTTGAAATCCGTTTGTCAAAAAAATCGCAAATGCTCAATTTACCTTATTTATAACATACTTTGCTCACTTGGATAGAAAAATGGGTATTTTTTTCTAAAACGTTTCATAGTCAAAGCATTAAAAGGCGACTGAGGAGAAGGAAAGACAGTCGATAAATCTTAGTGATAATGAGTTGTCATTAGATCGGTCACCATATGTTGAGTGCTTTAAATTTTTTTGGAACATCGTGAGAAGACGACAGCATGCGAAAAACAACTGTGGCCTCACCGGGATTCAAACTCAACCTTTCGAATGCTAGCCGGATGTAGTTCTGAAAACCCAACGAAAGTACATGGAAAAAAGGAAAAAACTCTTTACATTTTCTCCTACTTCAAGAGAGATTGGAAAGGCTGAGACTCAGTCTCCATATCTCTAGTGGTAATGAATCCACCACTTCGAACTGTCTAATAATTCGAACTGTCTGCAAACATTTGCAGAATCTACCACATAGCAACTTGGCTATTTTTCTGGATAGTTTTTTAAAGTCGTTCTACTTATAACATTTCTCAAAGAGGTTTTTATTTTGCCACAGTCTGGGAGCAACAGTAGAAAAATTTTGATTTTCCGGAGCAAGAAAATGTAAGAAAATCAGGTATGCTTTGGTTGGGATTCGAAATGAGGGTTTTCCGATTGTTAAGCCGATGTTACGCCAATTACACGCGGAAGTTATGCAATAAGGAAAGGGAAATTTCCTTACAATGTATAATAGAACACTAGCCAGTTCTCTTTGAAAGCATTCCACCGAAACATCCCTCTCTTAAAGCATACAGCCTTCCTCATGTGTTCAAACAAGTAAATCCTTTTTTTTTTTTATTGAAATGAATATTTATTACTTATGTTGTAGCATTCGTAATAATTCGAACTGTCTGCAAACATTTGCAGAATCTATCACATAGCAACTTGACAATTTTCCTGGATAGCCTTTAAAGTTGTTTTATTTGTAGCATTTCTCGATGAGGTTTATACTCGTAGTTTCCACTTCCTAATTTATTTTACACTATGGATATGGACATTTTGCATAAGCGCATGAGTAATTTTAATTTATTAGGCAATGCCTTAAACATGCTTTAATTCTTGGGCGGCTACGAAATTAAGCAATTTTTTAAAATTAAAGTTTCAGTTTTAATACGAGCTGGAGCGTTTGTGGCCATTGTGGTGCGTATAGTCTATCTATTATAAAAAAAAAAAAAAAAAAAAAAAAAAAAAAGCTCTCGCCAGTTAGTCTGACTGTCTGTTGCCGTAGAGCGACCTTGACCCATTTCCCGTAGGGGTGTCTTAAGATGAATATAACCCTTTACCTCATCCAAAGCCGCCGAACAGAATAACATAGCAATCCTTGTTTGCCCCTCTGAATACTAGCTTGCTGCTATCACGAATAATACTGGTAGAGAGCGTATTGGAACCTCAACTGGTTCCAACATTAGTGTCACGTGACTGCTGCGCGAATTCCGAAAGTGCGGAAATACTTTTACATTGCTTTCTATGGGACGAAGACTGCTGCTCTGCTTGGTCACATAAAATTTAAGTAAAAATGGTTATTCGCTGCAGCGCCTACGGATTTAAAAAAGTTTCGTGAAAGGAGGACTTGTAACCTTTCATAGGTAAGGTTAAACTGCATGATTTATTATTTTATTTTCAGTATTTTGTCATTTAACTATCTCTGTTGAATTGGTTGGAAAGTTTCAGCCATATTGTATAAGAAAATTGCCGCTGTATATGACATTTTCAGTATATATTATTAGCATCAAAATGTGTTAAATACGGTGACACTATTTACTAGAATCTCCCTTTGCAAATAATTGAATTTTATATTCTTTTTCCGTGTACACCGTTGAAATAAAAAGCTGCGCCAATTGGCGCTAACCTTTTTTCGCCAAGTCGTGCGCGTTTTGATTTCGTAAACAATTACTGCCTGCGATAAAAAAAAGAAAAATGCTATTATTAGCATTAATAATTTAAGTAAATTGCGATATGTTTACTTAAATATAAGGAAGTAAAAAAAAAACTAAAGATCTTGATTCATGCAACATTGAACATAACAGTTAAACAGCATTATTTTAAAATCAATTACTTTTTATAAGCTCAATGCTTTTATCATTATTTCTATAAAATCATTAAAATAAAATAATCTGGATTATAATTCTGTCTCATCTACGATGCTGTTAGAAATTTATTGTATTGAAAAATGCGATGTGAAAAACTTACCATATTTAAATAGTATTAAAAAAAAAAAAAAAAAAAAAAAGGAAGTGAGAATTTTTAACTGTAATATCGTTTGATCCTAATATAAATATTTAGTTGAATTTGTTACGTTTATACATATTCAATATAAATAATTTTTATAGTTAATAAGATTATTGATCCCCCCCAGACATACCATGTGTGGAAATCATAATTAAGATGCATTATTTTGTTCCAGTATATAATTCAAAAGAGAGTGATTAATTTTTGTGCATAATACATATAAATACACATAATTTTTTTTTTTTCTCTTAGGATCATGCATTAAAAAACGAGATTTTTTTTACCTTCTCATATTATAACATTAGTGCAATTAATTTTTTAACGTTATTCAAAATTAAAGTTTCCATCTCATTTTTATTATTTATTTTAGATTCCTTCCTAAAATTATTTAACCTAAACATCTTAAACATGTGCAAATAATTAAAGCAACTATTAAATATAGAAAATATTCGGAAAAAGGGGATTAAGTTTATCTAAATATATTGTAAAAATTGACAACCTAATTCGAGGCCGTGTCTGCTGATTGCTAGCGACGGAATAAAAAGTACTACCTGCCATATCAAAAGCGGGCCAACTGGCGATGAACAGCCTAAGCTATCACTCCCCAAGAGCGCCAAGAGCATTAGTCACGTGGTATATGTTGGAGACACCCTAGCAGACGAATTCTCTGTGGGTGAGCCGTCTACCTGTTATATGAAGTCGTTGGCTGCTATAGCAAAGAACGTTTATGTAAAGAAGGAAAGGCTCCATAGACCAGTTTGTCTTCTACGCCGCTAGAAAGAAGAGGGGAAATTCGCAAGGGATTTGGCAACGGAACCTGTTGGCGAGAATTTCCTCCTCTGTGATGTACTGGACCTGGCCCAGATTTTCCTCCTCCGTCACTTGTACAGGAAACTGAGGAACACGGATTAAGATAAAAAAGAAAATTATATGAAGTTTCACTTTCACTGGCTGTTGAACTTGCAGTATCCGTATCGCAGTTTGATGCCTGATTTTATATTCGTTAGTATCGAGGGAAAAAATGGAGTCACACAGCTTTAAACTCTTGATAAACTTGACCGTCGAACCTGTTCGAACTTCGACATCAGCTTCGAGCTTTGGCGCTTTTTGGCGACAGATATTTTACGCTTCGGCAGCTGTTTCCCTTTTCGTTCAAAGGGAACCACTTCTGCTGCTGCGAAGTTTTCCTTCTTAATAATACGTATTCTTTGGCTATAGCAACCGTCCCCCGCCAAACATAGTGGCGGGAGATGTTCTTTTCGTAGACAGACAGTAAATGGAATGCAAGCTGAGCTCGTTGATGACCATCAAAGGGTTAAATTAGTAGGTAATTATAAAATACTTTAAAATTTTAGAATATCGCTTTTGTTTATTTAGCAATAATTGAAAAAATACATTAATAATACAATATAAAATACTGTTATTTACTCAGTGTTCTTAAAGTGTTGTAGAAAACACTCAAGCAGTGAATAAACTCAAACATTCTAAAAGTTGTAGAAAAAACTCAAGTAGATAGCATCTCAACTCGCTGCAGATAAATGCAAAATGAGCTGCAGCAGCGGTTCTCAACCTTTTGACTAACACATATAAACAAAAACTGAAAACTTTTAGTACCACTATTACATTTTACATAAACATTTTTCAATTTCTCAATAGAAAAAATTAAAAAATATATATATATTTTACAATTTGCACAACCTGTTGGCTGTTTGTATTAAATACGCACATATAAAATATTAGATTAGAAATTGGTTACTATTTTAATTATCAAAATTCAAGTTATACTGCTTTAATTCTAAAATTCATTGTAAAATTTCGGCCTCTTTAAGAGATATCAATTTCTTTACGTATGGTCATATTTCACTTAGCTTTAACCGTTAATTAGGATCCACTTTTAATTTTTTTCTGTATTCGTATTTCAAATATAACATGGAAGAAAATCCTCGCTCACAGAAATAGTTTCTGCAAAAAGGTGATAGCTTTATTTGAAAAGTTCGAAGTAATATTTTGAAGTGCACATTGAAGATTTTAGTTAAAACACAATTGATTTAGCGTTCCTTTTAGTAGTAAATATGGCTCCTGTCAAAAAAAGCAACACAGTGGTGGTTTCAAATTTAAAGTCATTAAGTTTGCGAAAGAAAATGAAAATCGCGCTTCTGTAAGAATGTTTGGCGAAAGATGGAACGGATGATGATTATTTATTTATGGATCAGAGTAACAGTTATAAGGTATTTCTCTCACCTTCTTGGCATGCCTTCGTGGTGTGGTGGTCTGCACGCTGGGCGCGTATTTCAGAGGTCCATGGTGTTCGATTCCCGGCGAAGGGTGTTGCTAAATTTTCATCTTGCCTGCTTCCAAATAACCTAATGTCTCTACACAGTGATGGTAAAGATGAAATAGAAATCGATGATGTGCCTGAAGATATAACGGAAGACGAACCTGACAAACTTTTCATGTTATCTGATAATGAAAAGTTTTTAATTTCGAAAGGTATGTCATTGCTTTTAAATAAACAACATAAGTACATGTTAAAGTTTATCTTTTGTAAGCTGATTTTTTCTATATTTTTAATCCATCATTTTTATATCCCGCCTATAACGCGCACCGATAAATTTCGATGACATTTTTGGAGTTAAAAGTGCGCGTTATACACCGGAACATACGGTGCATATATCTTCGCTATTTCTGCTTTCTCCTTTAGTATGATTCCTTATATAGTACAATTACATCAAAAATAAATAAATAAGTAAATAACTGTTTAAGAATGATATACTTCGTAATTCTTTTTATATATTTGTAAATGTCATAAACAATATCATATGCTATAATTAAGTGATAATTTTGTAACCATTAATGTAATTAATAAAAAAATTCCAACGTCATGTTTTCTGCGCTTTAATTGAAGAATAATATTCTACTTTTATAGTAGTGCATCGGTTGCGTTTTAAATACCAAGTAAGTGCACATACACACGAATATACGAGACAAGAATTTTATACAACAAAAATATAATCAATGTATAATATTAATATTACACTCGTATATAAGATTATTATACTTCAAAAAATTCAAACAACGTGAAATATAAATTAAAGCTGCAGGCGTTAATAAAAACCATGCACAAATGTTATTACTATTATGGCTCTTCTCGCAAAGATAGAAATTCAATATGATTTATTTCTTTAAACAAACAATAAACGAAACACACTTACTGCGACTCTGATTGTAAACTATGATGTAACCCGTAATAGGGCTATTCCCGCTAGACGGCGCTGTCCAAGAGAACGTAATTTGACGGCTGGTGACTTGAAGCAGCTGCATCCCTTCAGGGCTCTCGGGGGGCGCTGGAAAAGATGTCCCCCGGAGAGAACAGGGGGTGGGGAAAGCGTCGTTAGAGATAAGAGAAGACAAGGGAGAAAAAGTGTTAACAGGCGAGAGTTAACGAGATTGGAGTCAGTCTTCTGTACCCCCTCCGCTCATCACCACCATTCGTTTAGCTAAATTACCGAGGGGCATTGATTATTCTATCGTTAGGGGACAGTGAGCATTTAAGCAGGATAGGCTTAATGAGTACAGACGATTAGTGTGCACTGAGGGGGTGAAGAAGACAAGAATAAATATAAGTATAACCTTGCATCATAGAAAAGAATACTCTTTTTCTAAAGTATATTTGAACGAAGGAAATTCTTTGGTTATTAAACTGCGATCAAGAGGATTATTTTCTAGCATGCATTAGAGAGATGGTGACTGTAAACGGGAGCTGAAGTTTTCTGGATTCGTTGCAGCATTCATAAAACACACTTGTTATTCAAATGAAGTGTACTACGAATTGTGTTTTTCACCACTGATTAGCCAAAGTATAAATGCATATTGAATGATAGCATTTAATAAGTATTTATACTTTTCATTGAATTTAAAGCGTAGTAATAAGTACAATGTAATGGCAGAAGAAAGAAAGCATTTATAATTAATAATTAGTATTTTGAAAAAGAAAACACAACGCATTATTATGTACACGAGCATTGCTGCATGCAGGATTCATGGCCATACTATAAATTACTATGATTCCATGCTTAACGCTACAACATCAAATCACTGAATTAAAGGCACTGTAAGTAGATGAAGACACTTAATACTTGCAAGTCTTCCACAAGTTAAAAAATGTCTGAGTGACAGGGGTTGCGCTGAAAATTTTCTAGTTGCCAAAATGCAAAGTAAACATAAATACTTTTTTTATTAGAAGAATTTAAGGCATTTCTCCCTATAAGAGAAAAAAAAAAAAATCATGCAGTTTAATTTTATTGAGTCGTTACGGTAACAGAACATTGCTTAAATTAAAGTTTAAAAATATTATAATTTAAATTTATCATTCATTCCATTTCTGATGCAATTTTATGTCACTGATTTAGCAAAACTGAAACATTAAAATAAACTAAAACATTAAAATTTAAAAACATTTTTTCCCTGATATGTGTGTTTTTGGCACCTCCTTTTAATAGGCCTATTACGGTCGAATTGAAATTAAGAAGCATTGAGCTCTTCCAACATCATAAAATTTGATATTTTTTAGAGGATTTTCAAATATTGCAGTATATCAGGATTACTCAATCTCTTTGTTGTTTTATGTAATCGGCACCGCATGTTTTTACAAAATATATAATCATATGCTGCTCGTTGTAAAAATTTCATGTGTGGCCATAATGCTTTAGACATATATGCCATATGGAACTTTAGACAAATTTGTGCAGATTCATTTATTGGATTGTTTATACACATGGAAAAGCATTGTTTAGAAAAGTAGACTAATAGATGCTGATGGAACAGTAGACTTGTAAGGTTTTACTTTATTCTAACTAGTTATTTTTAGTTTAACTTTCCTGTTTCTCCTGATTTCAGTTGCCTGCCGAAATGTAAATTTTGCATCAAGAAGATGTAAATTTTAAACGTGTTTCAGAAGCAATATTTAAGCTGCGTTTTAAGAGTTCAAAGCAGTAGTAGCGGACTTTTGCTACTTCTCCGATGTTTATGCTGCGAGTTTAAAATTAGCTCTTTAGTTCGGTGTTCGACACCCTTCAGTATATACTGAAATTTCTTGGCTCGGTAATGCTGTGCGCCGTCGATTTTAGTGTAAGATACGGAGCCAGTCAGTAGATTATCTTAAATTTTTATTGAATTGGTTACATTCTTATTTTCTGTTACGTAGCCACAAGTGGTGGTGATCTGTGAGCACGAAGTGCATGTATCTGTATTAATTTAGATACGGATAATAAAATGGATATTTAAACCTTTCATCTGCAGTATTTATTCTTAAAGAGATAGCGGGAATTCGATACTTAGTCTTCGACATAGGGTTTAAGAGTGTATGCTCCTACAGAAAACACGAAGACTCTAGAACAGGCTCCCGAAACGATTCTCCACCACCAGGATTTGGCGGTTGTAGGAAAAAATGTCACCCGGAAAAAAGGGAAACGGAAAGAATATCCCCGGAAAATAAGGAAAGGAAAAAATGTCACCCTTCGTTTGCAATGGGAAATATAAGGCATGTTTAGAAAGATCGCCAATCTGGGTGATAAAAGTTTTATCTCAACAACCGTAACTTCGGATGACCGGAAACATGTGCGAGTAGAAGCAAAAGACTGTTGGCTGCTTTTCTTCCATGGAGCCTACCCATAGTTTCTTCGCTAAGGTAAAAATAGGTTGTTTAGAGAGGGAAGCTTTCGCGATGGCCGCCAGGGGGAAAGGCGGGTTGTCCAGCGTCGGTCATTGTCAGGTCTTTAGTAATTACTCTCCTCGCACTGCATGTATTATAGCCTTAAGCTCGGTTTAGGAAACATTTATTGACGCACAACAAAAACTAATTCACCTGAGCTTTGGGTATAAGAAACAGTGTAGATGCAATTTCAAGTTACGGTTGCGATAAGAATAGGACTAAATTTTTTACCTAATTAATTTCGCATTTTTTTTTTCTCTTGATTTAATTAAAAGTACGCTCTGCACGGAAACATTTGTTTAAATTTGCACTTAAGTGAAAACAAGATACCACTTTATTAAATTAGTGGTTTATTTTAAAATTATTAGTCTCTGAGGGA